GCCATGAATCCCATACTTCTGCGGACATGCCTACAGATTGCTGCGCGGGATTGTGTCATAGGCTTTCTGCTCGTCTGAAAAGCACATGTAAAGGGAATGAACGAATTGCCACGATTTCCCAACAACCTGGTGGAAGATCAGAGGTAGATGGCCTGAACGAAAGCCCAACTGCTCTTCTTTGTTCTTGGAGTCGACAGTTCCGCGACACCTGCTACTGAACCACCATTTTGTAGATATCTACTGGAAGGCTCCGCAATGCCTCTGTAATTGGAGCACTCCTGCGTTCTCAGGCGAAATATAAACTCTGTTGTACAGTCTAACGATGCCTTGCTCGTATTTTTTAGGTTTACTGACACTCGTCAACCGTAACGCCTTGTTTGCTTAAATCTTTAAACATTTCAGGACGGATTTCTTCGATTCCAGCAGTCTTGTCACTTATCAAGCATCTTAAAGCTTTGGTGACTTCATCTGAAAGGCTACTATCCGTGGCCCGCTGCTCTTCGGGGCCACCTCTCTGAAGTTGCTCAACACACTCCATCATCAAGATACATTCCCTTCTTTGGTAAGCAAGAGTCTGGACTTGTCCTTCAGAAGTCTTAGACTGTCCTTCTCTTCTCTTCTCTTCTTCTTCTTCTCTCTCTCTTCTCTTCTTAGACTGTCCTTCTCTCTCTTAGATTGTCCTTCTGTCTCTTCTCTTAGACTGTCTCGGAGCGTCGGATGGTCTACCAGACTACTTTGCTTGCCGGCTGGAAGCTCAACTCTAGTACCTTACGGAACTTTTCCCAGGAATCCGCTTTTCATATGCCAGTTCTTTAGTTGCCGCCATGCTCGCTTGTTCGTACGGCATTCGAGTTAAAGGATATTTGCATTCAAGTCAACTCCAATGCAACCTTCTTCTCGCTGTCAGCCAGCTGAACCTTTGATACTTCATCAGGAAGTTCGTTTCTGACCACATAGCGGCATCCCATTGTGTGTAAAACCGCGGCATTTAGCAGCAGTCCCGAGTAGCCACTTTTAAAGAATTTCCATTCAGCTTCCACGTCAGTCGTCATCAAAGATCCTGCGTTGTCTGTGCATAATATAAGCTAACTTTGCGAGTATCTATTAGCTATTCCTGAAGCAAACTGGGTTATTACCTGAAGCTAATCGCCGCGCCATGTCCCAAAGAAAGTCATTGTTAACATACTACGGGTGACTTGACGGATTACTTTAAAAATGATAGAGGTTAATCATGACGTTGAGTTTTGGAAAACCGATTAAGTTTAGATCTAAAGATTTCAATTAACATAGGAGTTTGAGTAAAATTTAGTTCCTGATCATGTGATGTTCTAAAATCAGTAAAGGTACAGATTTTTTCCCGTATTGCATGTTACGCGCAAAGCTGTCTGAATGCCACTGGTATAGCCGTCAGACCAATTTCCTTCCTTGCCTAATAGCATAAAACGCTTTTCCGGAAGCCTAACGCCGTCTAATACGGACGAATATTTCTCTCGACAGCGCCGGCAGAAGTACAGGACTCACTCAAACGTAGAGGGCTAGATTCTACCTACTATTTTTAACTCAGCATGCATGAACAGCACTCGGCGAATCAATGGGTAGAGAACTTGGCCTGGTGTTCCCTCCCCCTCCTCCGTTATAAAGTGACAGCACTGATTTGCAATGCCTCTTGTCTTTATTGTCTCCAGGTGACATTACCGGATTAGCCCGGCCATAGAGTACCTGGTCAAGTCAGACGACGATAGCTACCGACTACGTCTCCAAAGGGCATGACAACGCCGACCGTATCGACGTAGATCAATTTCTGCTGCCCACCTTTCCGAACCTGTTGACGTTCTGTTACGTACAGATGACGGTAGTGCCGTTGACAACTTGTGTGGAGAATCAGTGAAATGAGTGAGGTGAATGAACTTTTGCAGCTTTGTGACCAAATCGATATCGAGAAAGAAAGTACCTAAAACCAGTTTAATATGGCTGAGTGGAAATAAACTGAAATCATCACGCAAATCAAATTTATTCATTAGAATGAACAGAACTGCTTGAATAAACACTCCGCGTCTAACTCACAACTGTTGCATGATTTCGACGTTGGGCTGTGCAACGTAAACTTCAAATAGACAACTTTCTCAACGAACGACATCATCATCCATTTTCGATCTATTGCTGGGTAAAGGCATCTCAAAGACTTTGACATAGACTTGTTTTCTGCCATTTTCATCCATCTCGATGCAACGAACCTTTTCAGCTCGTCCTACCAGTTATCCAAATAAATTCCCACGGACCATTTACTCTCGTTTGGAACCCACTCTAATGTCTCTTTTTCCAGCGACGGTAGTTTCTTCTTGTAGCGTATCATGCCTATTACCACTTTAACTTATTCACTCTGGCAATGACATATAAAGCTTTAGAATCACGCAGTTCTTTGCCCTAGATCGATAAAAAGTCCCTTTTTACTATACAGCATAAACATTACGCTTATGATATGACCCTCTGACAATAACATGAAAGTAGAAAATAGATGCAAACATTGAATTTTCTGGGTACTTCGTGCGGCTACTCAAGAACTTCGCAGAAGATAAAAATAAGTACCAACCAGTAGGGTGTCTTTCGATTTACCGATTTTCCATCAGAGAAAGTAGTAGGCAATAGCTGCCTGCTGTCGAATTGAGTTTCAAAACTGGAAAACAGTATAGCACATAGCCATGATGCACATGTGACGCCATAATTATCGCGACGTATCCGACAGAATAATTACAATAGCTGGTGGACCAGTCCATCTACTGTGCAGACGTTTCGTACTTGAAATCTAACTGGTGACAGCATAAGCGATGATACCATAAAGGACAGCTTCGATGCATAACGCTGACTTACAACAAGTCATTTATTTCTCATATGCAGGCTCGATCATAGTTGAAGATAATTTTAGGACTGAGATTTACCGACTTTACTTAACAGTCAGTAGCTTAACAACAGCACTAACCGGGCTAAACTGAAATGGTAATATACGAAAGCTCACTATGCATAGACATGTCACATCCGTGATCTAGTCGCTTAGAAGAGATCGATGCAGAAATTGACTAACGAAAGTCAGACCGCGTTGATGCATTACAGACGATAGTTTCGAATCTTCGGGGTAGATTAAAAACAGTTGAATGAGTTTTTGTGACAGTACTGATATTCAGCAGTCACAATTCAAGAACACGTACAAGAGAAAGCTACGACATGTCGAGATCCTCATGAAAATAAATGTCGACACTAAGGAAAGACTGTACTATCAGGTACTCCTAGAATGAGAACTGGCAGAACTTCCAATGGCGTTGAAATCAATCGAAAATCCACCAGAAAAAAAGATCAGGAAAATAACGTGAATTAGCGCATCACGCAATCTGTCCCTTGAAAAGATTACACTTGTTACTATGGGTCATTCAAATGCAAAATAAGTGCTATTCGGTCAATGGTACGTTAGCGCAAAATTTTCACATCGAAAACAGTTCCGTTGTCTATTCTGTTAGGTTTTATAAAATGAAGACTATTACAATACATTAAAGACACTGTGCGACGCCCAACTGCAAGATCTTAGTAACTCGTAAAAATGATGGTCAATAAAAGATGCTGCCCTCTCGTTACTGTTCAGGTAGTTTTCTTGTCCTCAAGATTTTCATCTTCAGAGTGGTCAATGAGACTTCGTAATGCATGTCTGTAAGTTGTGAATCTTGTAAAAAAGTCGTTTCAAGTAGTATTGATAC